TAGTACCCAAACATTGACCACTGCCATATTTTTACACCAAAAGACGATGAGCATATATGTACCACTTATTGGAACGATGACTGATTTTATAAAGCTTCAATATTATATCCTACAGATCACGTCGCCCATGTGCTTAGTGGGGTTGTAAGAGAAATCGATGGCGCCATCGATTGTTTCGGTTCACCATCGATAGTATCGACTTCAGGACTGTTCATTCCATGATGCATGAAGGAATTATATATAGTTAAAAAAAAACAAAATTATATATAATTACATGTATAGTTGCATCATGGTTTATTAGAGTAACAATTTATGACATTTTTGTAAATTACTAGATTTTGGCGTTGGCACAAATTATGTTTTTAATGGAGTGATTTTGTATACTCGCTTGAATGGGCATTCAATATGTTGGCTATTTGATTGAAATGACTGCCAGGAGCATTATTGCTATTCTATTTTTAATTTAATTCTGGAAGTTAAATCGAATAAAGTTTTAATTATTAAACAAAAATATAAATTTTAAGACAATTGCAAAACTGTACTGATTACTAAACTACTAAACAAAATCAAACGTATACCCGGTACTTGAAGAGTTAAATAATAATAGTAAATTATAGTAAATATTGTACAGGAGACGTTTCCGACTTTATAAAGTCTATATATTCTTGAACATCATGATGAATAGCCGAGTCTATGTCCCTCTGTCTGTGTCCTTTTGTCTATGTTCCTCTGTCTGTCCTTCTGTCAGTCTTCTTTGACCCTTTTCCTCAGAAACCATAAAAGCTAGAAACACCAAAGTTTGTGCGAAGGCTCAAACAAGTCTGACAGACAGACGGACGGACAGACAGGACTATGTAAATCGACTCGGCTTTTGATGCTGATCAAGAATATGTATAGTTTGTGGTGTCGGAAACGTGTTCTTCTGTCTGTTACATTTTTTTTACCACAAATACAATATACCCTATTCACTCTTCGAGTACCGGATATGAATATAGAATAGTCCGTTCCAATTAATCGAGTTGTTCCATTTTGCTAGGTTACAAAGACGACTTCCATTTCGCGTGTGTGTCGCGTTGGCGACCACATGTTTTTCTACATTTTTATGAAAACAAAAACTCGGTTAACCCAAAATTTGCATTAAGCATAGACCTAACAGATTGCCACCGAATGGCAAAAAATTCAAACAGCTTTTGTTTTCCATATTTGAAGTTTATTGAACGCTTGCGACCCGCTGAAATGCATATCCATATATGTACATATGTAGATACATATGTATGTAAATATATATGTATGTACTGGCTGTCATTCAAAAAGAGTGAAAGCAAAATGAAGATGATTTTTGCGCCAGTTGTTTAAATTAATTGGCGGTCTGCGAAGAGTTTTGGACTTCCTAGGTACCACAGGTAGAAAGGCTTTTGATGTTTCACATTTGATCAGGAACATTGCATGCACTTTACTCACTTGGACATGCTTGGAGCTGAACAACTTGGAGACTGTGAGAAATTCAAAACAAGTGAAAGGGTGCGACTTCCATTTGGGGTCACAGAAAATGAAGAAATAATTGTAAACGTCGCTAATCAAATTCCCAGCTTTTAGTGGGAGGTTATTTATTACCTCTGGAGTACTTTAGTCTGTTTTTCCACATTTGTTTACACCTCCAACCCAAAGAACTGTCAAACATCTTTACCCCTCTCTATAGAAGCTGCCAACTTTATATTGTTCTACTAATACCCCTCCGCACGATTCTGGCTTAACCTGTTTTGCTTACATCAGAAGTCATTTGTGGCGCCAGCTGTGGGTTAGCAACTGAAACAAGCCTTCTAGTGGCTCTGACGAGTTTGTAGACGTCTCGCCCGCTCAAAAAGTTTTCTGATACTATGTATGTCCATACATATGTGTGTATTTACCTCTTCTTCAGGATTGTCTTCTGCGGGTGGTGGAGAGGTGGGTTGGAGCTGTCATCGCGTATTTGGTGAACATTATTGAAAGGTTTGCTGTTGTTACTTGCTGCTGATAGGTCAAAACGACAAGGAAGTCATTAGCCATAGGAAAGCCAAAGAACTGACCATTTTGTTGACCCTTTTGTATGTGGCTCTAAGAAGCTTGTTGAAAAGGATCGCCTACATGCATATGTAGGTATATACATACATACAAACGTAAATATATGTACATTTATGTGTGTATGAACATACATACAAATGCAAATATATGTAGTGGGTGCTTTGTACAAACATACATATGTACATATGTATTCATGTACTACAAGCCTAAATGTACACATTTCTGCAGTTGAGCTAAAAAACTGTTCGTAAGGTTTATTAAATAAACTTTATTTTAACAAACTGCTTTCTAGATCCTCTGTGGCCTGACCTGCGAGTAAAGGTTCTCAATATTTAGCAAAGAAACCTGAAATGCAGTGTTAAAGAACTATTTACATATGTATATGCAGTACATATGTATATATTTTAGACTTATATACATATTTATTTACAGACATATGCAATATGTACATATATACATATGTATGTACATACATATGTACTTGCAGATATGCAGAAACATTTTAATAGGGGAAATATTTATAAGTACTAATACTCGTTGTCAAGCGTCGGTCCGGCTGAAAGTAATAGTCTTTGCGAATAGAAAAGAGTAAAGTTCAAAGGCGAAGTTTTTTTAGTCGATTGAGTCGGGGGGAGAGAAGTTCAACGAATATATGGGAACTGTATTGGAGAGAACGCAGCAGAGCGGAGCGGAAGGAAGCAAACTGAAATTTCATCAGCGCACTCACTCCTCCGCTCTGCGAAGACCGAAGTGATATGCTAAAGCAGCAACCATTCGCTGCGGGTGAAAGAGACACAGACACAGCGACACAGCGTCGCTGTCGGCGCTGGCATTGGCGGCGGCAACGACGAAAGGCAGCATCGAAACAAATGAAAATGCAAAAGTGGGAAAAGTTAAAAGTTTTGTAATATGTAAGTGCAGCTGAAGTTAGTGTCTCGGAGTGTGAAGGGGGCGGCAGCACGCCTGTGACATCTGGCCGCATGAAATAAACTTTGCCACAAAGCAAATAATAAGAAGGGAGTGAGCATGTTGATCCAAGAACGGAGAAAACTCCGAACCCACCAGCAAACCAATATGAAAGTGCGAACATGATCTGCTTAAAGCAGGAGTGTTCGCTCCACAGATCCATCAAGCGAATAATCTCAAAATAATTTTAAGAATTATACGGAAAGTAATGATAGTGGACCCCATGAGTACACACTTTTGTAGAACTACCCCGGGTCGAGCGTCATTTTCGGCCACAAGGCAAACGGAGAACTTGGTGCGCATTGATGAATTTCCACCATTCTGGGAGGATCATCAAAATCTCTTTTGTCGGTTGAAATTTGTTAAGGTTATATTCCAACACTAGCACATAAGAACATCTCACTTTAATCAAGCGCCAATTGTTAAAGCGACATCGTTATCCCAGCTACGTGGACCCTCCTGCAATCACCACCCACTTCCCTGTCCCCATCTGTGCAATTCAATCCGCCGACCTGCCCACATTTGCTAACAGCATTGTTACACTTTTAAACGGTATTTTTATACCCGGTACTCGAAGAGGAATAGGGTATATTGTATTTGTCTGTAACGCGCAGAAGGCAACGTTTCCGACCCCATCTATGTATGTATGTAAATATTGTATATACTTACATACATACATATGTAAGTTTATTCTTGATCAGCACCAATAGCCGTGTCTGTATCTGTCTGTCTGTCCGTATTGTTAGACGCCTCGTTCTCCAAAATTGCGTAAGGACTGATCATATATAAAATCATCGAACTAGGATTAGACTGGGTCATTATTATAGCCAGAATGAATAAATTTATTTACATTGGCCACCCCACCCCGTCTAGCAACTTTGCTTATGCTTGTTTTTTTGTTGCTCATCCTTTCTCGCTCGCACCCTCTACCTCATGCAGTGTGCGTCAGTGGGGGAGGCGGGCTTAAAGGAGTGTTGGCGGGAGAAGTGATGTAGATGTAGATTACAGATGTAGAAAAATGTAAAATGCAAAATTCGAAAAAAACCACTAAGGTAAAAAATATACTGACTGCTCGAGTACCGGGTATAAAAGCTGTGACGCGTACGAAGCGTTTAACAAACGTTCGTACTCGTTACGTTTGAATATGCGGCAAAGGTAAAAGCAAAATGGCAAAACCAAAAACCGAAACTAGAACCCAGACGATGTCGCGACTCTTTTTGACTGTGGAACTCCTCTCTCTCTCTCTTTTCATGGACGGTCCGGGACCAATGCGGTTCATTAGCGACTCCAAATGCTCTCTAAATTTGCTTTCTTCTCTCCGATGCGGCCTATCCACAGGGGCTTGTAGTAGTCTGGCCTGGACCTGGACCTGAAACTAGAACACATGAGCACGTAATTTAGTAGCCGCTTTGGCGCTTTTGTGTGAAAATCCCATCGACAACAGCAACAACTGCTGCCACTTCGCCAATACACAATTCCCGTCCAATCCTAGGTTCCGTCCCTTTCCCCGGCCCCTTCGCTGTTTATGACCATTTGCCGCATTGGGATCACATTCGGGCCACTTTGTGTGGGTCCGGTTTGTGCCGTTAATTCCTTTTTATAAATATCACACGACACAATACAACAATGCCCCTCCACTGTTTCCAGAAAGGCAGAAAAAAATAACTTTATTTGTTACTAGCTGAGGTTAGTCCAGGGCCAAAACTAATCAGTTTTTTCGTGGCCAACATGCAAAGCCTCAACCTGGACTCGACGCCGCCTGGAGGCCCATGGAAGTCCATGAGGCCCAAGTTAGGCCAGCTAAAAATTGAGTTAATAAAACTGAACAAAGAAAACGGGTCTTCCTCATATTTGAAACATAAGAATAGCCATGTTGCCTATCCAATAGAAAATTCCTTTTAAATCAAACTCATCAAGCTATCAGCCCACTCAAAGCATCGAGTATCTCTGATAGAGAATAAAAACAAATTGCGTTCTGTGCTGCTCGAATTGATTAATGGCAATCATAAAACTTATGAACACAAATACACACAACCAGAGAGATATCTATCGATTTTTTAAAGTTTAACCAGAATCTGATGTCATTTAGTGGAGTTTCTTCTGGAGAAGCTTGGCCATTTGTTCGGAAATTGAGGCCTTGGGATTAAAGTCGGCATCGCTGGCCAGGGACATGGCGGGGACCTGGTCCACATCTGCTGTGGCAGCTATGTATATAAAGAGGTTAATTTCTTACAAAAATAAACTACGGAAATAAACTATGATCAAAGAAACTTACCACTATGGGCAACAACCAAATCAGGAACCTGGGGTGGAGTCTTCAAGGCAGCAGCCATAGCCGACTTGGGGGTGTCATCGGCATCGGAGGCCACGGAGATGTCTGGGATCAAATCAGCATCGGTCTGGGGCTCCACAGGCTCGGCTCCGGAAACCTTGGCGAGCTTAGGAAGAGTCTTCAGTCCAGCGATGGCCTTCTTGGGGGTGTCATCGGCATCGGAGGCCACGGAGATGTCTGGGATCAAATCAGCATCGGTCTGGGGCTCCACAGGCTCGGCTCCGGAAACCTTGGCGAGCTTAGGAAGAGTCTTCAGTCCAGCGATGGCCTTCTTGGGGGTGTCATCGGCATCGGAGGCCACGGAAATGTCTGGGATCAAATCGGCATCGGCCTGGGGCTCCACAGGCTCGGCTCCGGAAACCTTGGCGAGCTTAGGAAGAGTCTTCAGTCCAGCGATGGCCTTCTTGGGGGTGTCATCGGCATCGGAGACAACGGAAAGGTCGGGAATCATATCACCATCGGCACTGCCAGCTGCTCCAACAAACTTGGCAATGGGGGCCCTCTTTAGACCAAAATAAGTCCGCTTGGTTGTTTCGTCAGCATCGGTGATCATGGAAATATCGGGCAGAAAACCGGCATCAGCCTGAACGGACATATCCGGAATCTGATCAGCATTATCCCGGACCAAGTTCTGCACTAAGGTCTGAACCTGCTCGACAATTGCTTCAAGAAATTCAAAGTTGAGAACCTGGGAAAAATTCTTTCAGACCTTGTCCCCCTTACCACTCAGATCAGATGGGGAAGGCAGATGGTGGATCTCATATACGAAGTTCCTGGGCTGGGGCACGACGCCTCCGCTGACTAGCGGGAGTATTAGTAGAGCGCAGATAGCAAAGTACTTCATGATGTGTGTTTTGGGAGGTACTAAGCCACGCAGCCACTTGAGGCGAGCCTTTATAGCAACCTTATCGAGGTTCGATTCATCTAATTTACGACGACTGGACGCAGAACTCTGCAGATTAGATTCAACTCTGCTGCCAGCGGAAAGCGCACAGCCCACAGGCGAGCGACTAGATTGCTCCACGCCCTATAAATCTTTCCCGGTGGTTCACCTGAGTCGAGTAGAGTCAATCGAATCTAACGTGGTGGCGGCACGCAAATTGATTTTCTCCAACCCTTTTTCTATTTGTTTATATTCCTCTCGTTGCTTGACTTATCAGTGTTTTGAGTCAAAACTTTTGTCCGTCGTATTTAATCGGATTTAATGATGAAAACGATGACGTGTTGCCCAACCAGAAGCACACGTACATAATATGCATGTGTCACCAATAGTAACTTATCAAAACTGTTACTACAGCTGATCATTGCCGCGCTGATTCAACAGAGATTCAATGTGGCTACGTACAGTATGGCGAGTAAAACAAAGCATTTCCTAGCACTTCCTACGAGTGAATGTGACGAGTTTTATGAACTCCTTAACATTTTTTCTTTTGTACAAAGGTTGCACAGTATTAATCCTCGGCTTATGGTTTTTTCTACCTGCAACAGCTGTTGCCCCTTACCTGTAGGACTCCATAGCTTGTACACGTGCAAATCCACCCTAAATGCTAAATTTCTGCACACACCGGGAAACGCTTCGGTTTGGTTTAGTATATTTATCAGTTTACAACTCTTATTTCAATGTAATGTAATAGAATATAGACAACAATATAGACTACAAGATAGATTCGATTTTATTGACGGTATTGTAAGTGTAACATAGTGTACAGAATATTCAGTTAGAGCTTATATAGATATAATCAAAATGAATCGTGTCATTTACTTACCTGTATAAACGAATGTCAAGATTTTGAAAATACGATTAGATTACATTTATGCAAGTTCTCGAAACTATTTAACGAGTAGAAAATTAACAGTTTGGCTATCCGATATTTTATCTTATATATCAATGAAAAAACAAAAAGTCGGACATTTGCAATGGTTTAGTGGTGTTCTTACTATCTAAACAATTTGGGATTATATGTGTACTAATCTGCTTTATCTCATAGATACGTCAATGTTTTTTCGAGTTCTGACTCGCCTACATGCCCAGGATGTCGTCGGCATCTTCCTCCATTGAGTCCTGAGGCTCGCGCTTGAGTCCCATGCCGCCGTCCAGAACCGAGAAGTCATCGGCTGCGATAGTGGCAGCGGTCTCCGTACACTCCTTTGCTTGCTGAGCTCTAATCTCCTCCTTATCCTGCGGATCGGCCAGCACATCGACCATGGCAGTCCTCTTACCAGGGACGGTTTTCTTGGCGTTGGCAACCACCAGGCTCCGCTTTAGGGGAGAGCTAGACCCTCCCGACAACGAAGGTTTGGGCTGCACGAAGTCGTTGAAGGCGTTTCCTTGGACGCTGGCGATCTGCGGGGTACGCTGCGGTGCCGAAGCTCCAGCTATCGGCGAAGGCTGCTTCTGGCTAACGGGCACGCTGCCTGCCGACCTCCTCAGCAGTACACTGTTAGCGTGTTGGGCAGCGACAGCTCCAGCTTGGCCAGTCCCTGAACCGGGGCCAGCTGTCCCGGAGTAGCGGTACCGCTGATTGAGCGGTGTCATCCCCGCGAGGGGGGCCCCCATCAGGCGACGCTTGAGCATGTTTGCTTCCATGGGACTGAGATTCTGCTGGGGATTGTGCGGAATCACATTCATGTTGCTGGGTGGCGGACCCAAGGTCATCATAGGTCCACCGCTGCCACAGACGGAGAACCTGCGCTGCATTTCGCGCACCTTGATGAGGGGTCCGCTTTTAGTGGTCACGACCTGTGGCTGGGTCGGCCCGAAGAGGGTGTTCATCGAGGAGGCGCCCTGTGGGCGAATGGCTACGGCTGTGGCTCTCCTGGGACTGACCGGAGGAGCCGGAGCGGCACGAGGGACACTGGTTCCGGAGCAGTTGCTATCGACGCTGTTCTTGCGCAGCTCCTCCGTTGGGACACTCACTCCCACTCCAACGCCGGCGATCGCCGCCTTGCCGTTCGTCTGCACGATACGGAAAATCTTCTTCTCTTCCGGAGACGCTACCAGGCTCATCCCGTTGCTATGCTTGTAGACGCGCTGAATGAGGTGGCGCGGTTGCCCCACTGCGCCAGAAGATGGGGCTGCGGCAGAAGGTGGGGCTGCGGCTCGAACTACCGTGCGTAAAGTGTCTGTGACGATGGGCAGAGGGGGCGGCTTATTGATAGCGCCCGAGTGTTTGGCGGCACTAACCAGACTCACTAGCTCCCGCACCAAACGCATCTCGCGATCCGAGACGTGCTCAAAGCCTGACGGAGTGTTGATGTTGAAGTGCTGCTGCTCCCCAGCGGCTGGGAAATCAGTCGCGTCGTCAAAAGTCTCCATTAAGGATTGGAACACCTTCTTCTTAAAGTGTAACTTCTGGCGGGGATTCATTTCCGCCATCTGCGGGCGCACTATCTCTAAGAAGTGTTCGTCAGAGAAAATGTCCAAGCTCTCTGTCTGCATTCCTCGCTCGGTTCTTGACCTGAGTGTCATGAAAGATGGAACCGGAACCGCAGTGGTTACGACCCCGACCCCGACTCCAGCTCCGGCCATACTCAACAAGGGGCTGGCAGTCACCGGATCGGTGATTGACACTACGCTCGTCGAGGGCGCAGCCAGGGTGGTCACCGTTACTGAGCTTGGCAGGGAGCTGGTAAGGAGTAAGGCATTGTTGCTGATGACGCTGCTCGATGTGGATGTAGAGACAGGTGTGGCCTTGGGGGCGACTTGGAATGGGAGTGAGACTGAACCTGGGATTGATTTTGGGGGTGGAGCTATGACTGCGACTAAGCTTTGGCTGATTGGCGTAGGACTTGAGACTGGCGTATTCATATTGGCGGGCCTATTCACTGGCCGCTTCGTCAGTTTCGAAGCGGCGTGGACGATGGTGCTGGTGCAACTGCTGCTGCGACGTGATGTTATCTTGCCTGGGTGGGATTGGGACTGTGACGTGGCCGGAGCTGGAGCTTTTGGACGTGGAAAGATGTCGTCCCGTGTGAGGGAAAAAGCTTTTTCAAATCCTTTATTCACTGCTTCCGCATTCTGCGCCCGTGCTTGATTTTTGTTCGACATATACTTGGGAACTGGGGCCAACTTCACTGGGGACCCGGAATTACGAGCGGCAGCCAGTCCCATGGACCTATGCCGCTGCTGTCTGGTCAGACGCTGTTCGGTGGCTGCTTTTTGCACTGGGAGCTGTTTGATTCCGCCGACTCCTGTGGCGCGGACAGCGCGACGTGGACGACGGCTGCTGATGCTTTCGCTGCCAGTTCCTCCCGACTCGTCGGCGCTGTCGTCCATTTCTTCCTCAAGAGGATCTCTGGAGCCAGAGGCGGCGTACAAGTTCTTCTTACGAATGATTAACCGATTCTCCTCGCCGGTCTGCTTGATGAAGAACGTCGACTTTCTGGTGTCGCCAATAGTGGAGATCGGGCTTGTGGGTGGAGCTTCCTCGTCCTCCGAATTGAGCTCGTCCTCCTCCTCGTCCCAGTTTAAGTCGGTTGGCTTCTTCTTCTTCTTCTTGCCTTTCTCCTTCTCCACGGGTTTATCCTCTTTTATGTGGCTGAAGTCCGACGACTTGCTATTAGTTTCCTCCGGTGCCGAGTCTTGCTTCTTTTCCGGCTTCTTCTCGTCAACTGCCATTGGCTGCGGCTTGGCGTCCCCTTTTAAGGACTGCATCGACTTACGGTCCATGCTCTCGTTACTGACTTCGCGCTCACTCTCGTTATCTTCATCTTCGTCAACGATATCCTCGCTGATATTCAGGTGTTGCCTGAGGAAACTCAGATCCTTCGCGTATTGGAAGGGTAGGCGATTAGATCCTGCGCGACGTCGCGCGGCATCGACATTCATCCAGCGAGCGTAATCGTTGCGCAAAACACGCCACCTCCGCTTACACTTCTCCACTGGAACATGTTACAGAGAGAGACAGAGATAGAAATAAATATATGTTTTGAATGTTTTATTGTATCTCATGTTTGTATCAAAAACGAGATGGAGGCCATAAAGATGGTGACGAGGCAGGTAAGTACCCTGAAGCAGATGGCTAATCAGGGCCTCAGCATTCCCTGATTGGGGTGGTAATGGTTGGCAATCCCGACCCCAGTGCACAGTCTTTTCCTAACACTTTCCTAAAAACCGCAATCCGCGATCTTCAACATAACCATACATAAACCCTTATCCGTGTTTAAGTCCCTGACCTCCTAAAAACCAAATAAAGTTGGCGCATAGCAACCGCTGATAGTCTTCAAAAAGGTGGCCTGACCTCAGCACTATTTCAGTGAGTCGAACGCTATAGTCACGTTGAAGATACTTTCAAGGCTAATAAACCCTTAAAGCGACTTTGTGCATCTGTAGAATGTTACAGGAAAATGTACAAAAAATATTCCCTACTTAACCGCGTTTTTTATTTTCTCTTATCTTTTAAATTGTGGATTTGAGAGACTTTCGACGTCTTTTTTGGTGAAAGGGGGCTGAACGAAATTTTGAAATACATTTGTGTTAGGTCCAGCAGCCTGGATGCAAGTGTTGGTGGCTCTAGGTCTTATAGTCTCTGCATACTAGCCGACAAACAAGTCGGACAGATGGATGGACAGACAAACATGGCTATATCGACTCGGCTATTGATGCTGATTCATAATATGTACATATATACTTTGTGGGGACCGAAACGTTTCCGTAGGTACTCTTCGAGTACCTGGTATAAAGAAAAAGCCCACGCACACGCCACGTATTAAAAGAAGAGCTCGCGAAAAGCGGTTCCCTTTTACATGTAGTCACACAAAAATTGGGTACCTGCGAACATTTTTTTTAATGGTCTGAAAATGACGCATCTTCTGTGGATTTTCACAGTGCGCTCGTCGCTCAACCAACCAGAGAATTCTGCCGCTTGCTTCATGCG